TTCTGAAATTTAATAAAATAAATAAATATTTATTGAATAGTTTCATTTTCTAATTTAAAAGTATATTAATATTTAAGTATATATTATATATATTATATTTCAATAAATAACAATAAGTCTATATATATATCGATTTAAATAATATCGAAGATAATTAATTTTTTGTTAATAACAATAAGTATTAATTTATATAATTACAATCATAATTAAATTTTTGTAAATAACAATATATACTAATTAAAATAATATCAAAGATAATCAATTTTTTGTAAATAATAATATATATTGATTTAAATAATTTTAATCATAATTAATTTTTTGTTAATATTGATATATATCTATCTATCGATATATATATTGATTTTGATATATATTGATTTATAACTACCCTGCCAATAGGAGTGTAGTGACCTAGTAAAGTAGTTAGGTTATTAACCTTCAAGTAGCAAGTCTAGAGTTCAAATTCTATGGATGACGAATTTTGGAAAATAGGTCTGTATTACGATAACTGTCTCTGTCGATCAGTTAGATTAGTGTATTTGTAGCCTTTGTTACACTATCTTGAATGGGAGCTTAGAACATCTATGCTAAGTGTAACATTATACTCATATAGAAAAATATATAACTGGTGTTGCATAAGACTTCAGTGCAAACCTATGATAAGATCACTAAGCATAGAAAGCAAAGAAACTGAAGAGTCAGAAATCTACTTAGAAATTCTGAGTAAGAAGATAGCACAAAACTTTCGATGGAACTGTCAAACTGATGGAAGTTTATGAAACATCCCCAAAGGAATAGGTGGATAAACTAGATGACAAGATGTGTAAAAGAGCATATGACCAACCAGGCTGCTAAAATTACTGAAAAAAAAGAATACTAAGGTATACTATACCAGGCCATCTGAATTGGAAGTCTTGGAAGTTCTGTCGATCTTGAGTAGTGGTTAGTAGAAGACAATAGAAAGAATGTCAGAAAGATAAGTAACAGGATTTTGGGTGAACCTTACAAGGGTAAAAGCAGTTTAATAGTTAGCCCTGACTGCAAGTGATAGTTTAGGCCAAAGCATAACTAGATAAGCTATAAGTATAGAATACAGAATGCACTAGTAGATTTAGTACAAAGTTAAACATGACTTAGTAACTATAGCATATTTTACCAGTTTACCAGAGTTGCTAATAGGATGTAATGGATGCAGATCAGAGTGTTTAAATAAGTGATCTACAGGTGGGTTCTAGATATAGCAACTAGTGTAGAACCTTTGGATGGACTACTTAAATTAAACAATGACTAAAGTTGTACGAGTGGCTAGTTGTACACTTTTTCTGTAATTGCCTCTGCATCTGTATATGTACAAGTGCTGGCCAACTTATATTATCAGTAAAATTCTAGGTTGCATGTACTCATCTTAACATTTAAAAAAAAAAATAAATAAATAAAAAAAAAACTACCCTGCTGATATATATCATTATATTTCAATCGATATATATCGATTTTTTGATATATATCAATTAGTAACTATCTAAAAATTTTCCTGATAACCCTAATGGCACCTAAGTGCAATCTGCTACATTACTTCAAACAGAAGTAAGCTGCTTGTCTAACTACTTAAAGTCTATAATAAAAGAGGCTTTCTTTTTTTATAACAAGCTTTAAAATTATTTTTATAACTTCATTTTTGATTTGTTTTTCTTCTTTTCTGCCTTCTTCTTTTTTTTTTATTTTTTGTTAACTAGTTTTTTTTCTTTTGCTTGAATTTTTTTTTTTTTTAAGATTTTTTTTTATTTTGCTAGTTATTTTTGTTCTTTTTTTTCATTTGTTAACCTTTTTGCATTATGTTTTTCAAACTTGTTTGTAAAAGATATTTAGGCTGTTTCTGCTAATATGTTTACAAATTATTGTTTTGTTCCTATATCTAGGAGCTATGCTAATCTGTTTTAAGTTGTTTTTAGAATTAGGCCTTTAATTAGTGCTTTTTTTATTTCTGTTTCTTTCATTATTGTTTTTCTAAATAGTACTGTATATAATACATAAGATAAAACTTTAGTTTTTTCTTTTTCTTTTAACTCTTTCTATGCTGTTGTAATAAATATTTTCTGTATTCTCTTCTAAAGATTTGTTTGTCCCTTGCATGCTGCTAAATACTTTTGTATTTTTTGATTTTGTCTTAACATACTTGCTATTCTGTATTTATATACAAATCTGATCTTCTTCTATTAAGTTCTTCTAGTATCAGAAGCTTGTCCAATACATATTTTATAAAAGCACTTCTTCTTATACTGCTTTTTTTTGTTGTATAATATACTCTTTTGATTAACTTCAACCTTTTTTAAAAATATGCTTAGTCATAGATCATTACTTTTGTTACTAGTTCTAGACTTTTGATTACTATAGTTTTTTTTTATTTTATATCTAGTCTGGCATTTGTTACTAGCTTATATAAAAGTCTTGTTGACATGTTTATTCATTTGTTTTCCTACTTTATATAGTACTTTATCTCTTTGTAGCTAACTTTTTCTTCTGTATATATTATCATTTTGCTTATTGTTCTTTTTTTTACAAAATTATCAGCTTTATTATTTTATTTATTTTTGCTATAAATTTTTACTTTAAACTACTCTATTTATATGTTTTTTGTTCTAACTAAATCAATTATCTTTACTATTTAAAAAGCATTTTTTCTCTTAAGAATTCTATTTCTATTTATACTTTTCAATCCTTTACTAATGTTTCTAATTGCAGCATTATTATCTGTAAATATCTTTAGTTTTCTTCCTTTTAGTATAGTTAAAATTGTTGCCTATATTGCTAATAACTTTGCTGCAATTGATATTGGCTACTCTTTCATCTTTAATGCTATCTTTTCTTTCAACCAATCTTGTATTTTATTTATTTGCACTTATTCTATACTCATGTTTTTGTCTGTTGCTTTTTCTTTATTTTGTCTATTTGCTACATCATCTATATATATCATATATTTGTTCTTATTTCTTGATATATTACTTTTTAAAATTTCTATTATTTCTTGAGTGACATTTTTTCTTAACTTTTGCTTTCTAACTAGCTCTATTTTTAGATCCTTGAGTATTCTCAGTTCTGTTAGCTTTTATTTATTTTTTTTAGCTCTTCTGTTCTTATATGTCTTGTTAATTGGTCTGTTGCTGTCTTGATTATATTGTTGCTTTTAATTATTAGTATGTCTGAAACTACTTTTATTTCATTATTGATTTTTATCTACTGCTAACAGCTATTTTTTACTGTTTCTTCTTCATTCATACACCTATTACACTTGTTAATTTCAGTTGCTAAATTACTTTCTATATATTGCATCTGCCAATATTTTATTAATACTTTTTTTTTTTTTCTTAATTATTTTTCCTAATTGTCTGTCATCTTTTGTACTATATAATATTTATTCTTTTTTTCTTCTATTCTCTGAGAGATTTTTCTATTTAATCTTTATTGTTATATATTATGTTTGTCTGTTCTGAAAGACTTTTTAACCTTTTTGCTCTCTAGTTTATTAAGTATTTTTTTTTCTATTCTTTTAAATCATTCTGCTTTTTTATATGTATAATCAATTGTATGCTCTTTTGTAGTAGTTTATAGAATCACATTACTAAAAAAAATCAATAATAAAAGTCAAAAGACTAAAAAAGTCACCTTAATATCAAAAAATAATAAATAAATAAATCTATTTTAAGTTTCTAGAATAGGTTTTTGTAATTTTAATAGTAATAATTTTATTAAGATTAGTTAAAATCTTATCAATTATCAAAATTTAAAGATTAGATATAATTTTTTATTATAAAGTTTTTTATATAGAATTATGAAAATTAACTAATCAAAATAAATTATTTTATAATTAATATACTTCAAAATTTCATAAAAAGATATATATTATTTTAATGTATATATATAAAAAATTTATAAATTTTTATTAAATTTTTATTATAAGTATTTGTTTTTTTTTACTAAAAATATAATTTACCATGTAGATTATATAGAAAATGATCTACTATACCCACTACCCTTAAGATAATACAAAATGTATAAGGTTTGTTTTAAAAAAAATAGATTATAAACAAATTTAGGCTATACAAACTTAATAAATTGATTCTAATAATATAAAATTTTAAAAGTGATCTGGTGACCCGGCTTATAGTTTTATTTTTAAAAATTATATATATAAATTACATATAAAATTTTTTACAGTTATTTTTTGAAAAACTCATCCGGATAGTAAATTTTTTTCTTTAAGTTTTGTAAGAACCAATTTACTGTATTAAAGTAAATAAGCTTTTATGGACTTATAATATATTTCAATTACGGTAGAAACAATTAGTACACAAGTCTAATATATGATCTTTATCATAAATTAATTTTTTTTTATTCCAAGCTTTTATAACTGATACGTATTATTAAAAATTAAATATATAATGATCATCACTACCGGGTATTTTTTTTGTTAGTAGAAGTATACAACTTACCTAATTAACTATAATTGCTTGCAAATAAGTTTAAATGCTAGATATTTTATCTTTTAAGATATGCACACTATGTAGCACAATCCATACAAAAAAAAAGTGATACACAATATCGATATCGATATATATATATTAATTAATACTGGTACACAGTAAAACTTTAATTTACGTACGTATATAAATAAAAATCAATCATATTAATTTGTATAAACACAGGATTAAATTTTCTCGTGCGACATTTATCTCCTAACAATTTACGGTAACAAAAGTCTCTCGCTCCTTCAAAACGGAAAGTCTCTTAGTCAACCCGATATTAACTTAGTCTTCATTCGTGTTCTTTAAAAGAGCCCATTTCTTACGCAGAAGTCTAGCTCTGTGTAGCTGTCGTCTGAAACGTTAACTTCCGACATCCACCACACAAAAGTTAGTCCTGTCGAGGACTTCGTCATCTCTCGTTAAACATTCCACCCTTTAGTCAAAGTCATTTCTCAACAGCCATAATACAAAATCGCCAAGATGATGTTATATAAGTTAGTCGTTCTTGGGGACGGTGGTGTTGGAAAGGTACCACATATTTTATTAAACTATGTTACGTCACTTGCCGTGTGGTGTGGGAGGTCTATTTTTCAACCATCTTAAGCTTTTTATCCTTTACTTAATCTTCAGACGGCCCTTACAATCCAGGTTAGTAAAGCAGAGCAGCGAATTTCAACATTTAGTCAACGTTTGAGCTTACCCGAAATTTCTTTTCATTTGTCTGAACATGTTAACGCGAAATTTTGATTTATTTATAGCTGTGCCTAAACCACTTTGTGGGTAAGTTTAATAAAAAGCTGAATTATTATGCATTTGTAAATTCTAACGTCGAATTATCATGTTTCGACACATTTTTTAATAGAGGTTTGCATTATCATTCGCCATGAATCTTATTATTTATTTGTAAAAATTGATTGATGTCATCAATTTTAATTATTTAATTATTTCGCTATTATTCGGATCATTATAATTATTAGACATATGATCCTACAATTGAAGATTCATACCGAAAACAAGTAGTTATTGATGACCACCCCTGCGTACTAGAAGTACTGGACACCGCCGGACAAGGTAACCAACTTTTCAAATTAAATAATAAGAGTCGTATTAAAGAGATTATATAAATGATGATGGTTTTACAATTATTATTGACACATAAATAATGCAATATTTCGAGTTCTTATGATTTATAAACGAACACATTATTCAGCATTCTTACATTAGATAATTTATCTCCTTTTTCATGAATTTTAATAGAGGAATATACGGCGTTGCGTGATCAATGGATTCGGTAAAGTATCTCTATAAGATTTTTATAATCTGTTTTAAATGAATCTGACACAAATGTGTGTAAAGGATGTACTCAAGTTTATTATACTAGGATGTGGTTCATCTATAACAAATAATAATCATTCACATTAATATCATATCTAACTTTATAACATCCAATGTGATAATTTTTGTGCAGAGATGGTGAAGGTTTTCTTCTAGTTTATTCCATATCTTCGCGATCCACATTCGAACGTGTAGAACGATTTCATGATCAAATTACGAGGGTAAAAGATACTGAACCAGTTCCACTTATGCTTGTTGGTAATAAGTGTGACAAAATTACTGAACGAGAGGTCTCACGAGAAGAAGGAATGAATATGGCAAGAAGACTTAAATGTGAATTCATTGAAAGTTCCGCAAAGACATGCGTAAACGTAGAAAGGGCGTTTTACGGAGTGGTTAAAATGATAAGGCAAAACAGAGAGGGCGGAAAAGACAGCAGAAGGAATAAGAAGAAAGCCAAGTGCGCAATTTTATAATTTTATGTTTATGTCGGTTTTTTTTTTTTTTTAAGATTGGGAATAGTGACGTGCGTTGTAGGTAAATAAGCCAAACGTGATTTATACTAATCATCACAGGTTTACTATCCTTATTTTATTTCGTAAAATGTCATCTTAAAGGACATTGCGATTTTTTTTTTTCTCGCACGTAATTTATGTTTTTATCTGTATTGTTGTTTGGGCAAAAAATGAAACATGCCTTTTCTTTTATTACCGTTCTCAAACATCTCATGCCAAAGAAGTTTCAACGTACCCTTTTTGAATTTACTGTCATTTGTGGATTTATTTCTATGTGAATTAATATCATCTTCCCCGAACATTTCCGCTGTCGTTTCGTTTTCGCTTCGATTTTTATTCTAAAATAATTGGAGGGATACTTTACTAAAATTGTTTTGTAATTATTATGTTGCTTAAAAAAAAATATATATATATATAAGATTTGTTCATACACTTTATACACACAAAATAACAGTGTATATGAACGTGAGTAAATTATTTAAATGTGATTTTATAGAATATATAATATATATAATACATACTTTTTATTTAGAAAAATTGTATTTATAATATCATGTTATATAACATCTTATACGATATTTTAAAAATGTACTAAGTAAACGGAATCGGGTACTTTAAGTAAATATGTTCAGGGCTTCAAAAATCTCATAAGAACTGAAATTGGAACCTTTTATCTAATATATATTGTATAATAAAAAAAATCTTTATTTTAAAGCTAAATCCTAATTCTAATTAAAATTATATACGGATATACCGAACCTATAACGAACCAGATCTGGCAGAACCGATTTTTTATAAGAATTTAGGCTGCTATACCGAACTTATATAGTAAATTTTTATATACCGCATCCGAACTCTTCTTTACCAGCCCAGGACTATGTGCACATATTTCGATATAACGAACTATTCGTTTGTATATAATACTCGTTCCGAAAGCTTCCGGACCGGAGCAAAATTTTTCGAGAATTTCCGAAGGTTTACTGACCAGTTGTGAAAAAATAATCTATAACGAACCCACTCTATACCGAACAAACCCCCCAGAACATGTAGTTCGGTATATCTAGAGTCGACTGTAGGTGTTATATAACATGGATGTTATAAATATAATATTTTTTTAAAAAAATAATTTTTTTATAAAAATTTGGTTTTTTAATATAGTAGTTCAAATTGAATGATTTAATTTACAAATTTAATAATATCAAAATCATTTTATTTGAATTACTAAATTAAAAGATATTTACAACAAAATCATATATACAGTACGGAACAGCTAAACACATCCACTTTTCTAAAAGTGCGCCAAATTTATATTCGGACAGCATAAAACATCCATACCTTGCATAGAGGCGCCAAATTTGAATAAAGACATCATAAGACATCCAATCAAATTATAATAAGCGCCAAATTTAAGATTACACAAAAATCAATAATTAGAAATTACAGTTATTTGACATATACATAAATGCATGTACTGTGTATACCCTCTCTAAAAGGTGCACAATAATAATAAGAATTTGTTTATTATACGGTTTACTCAATTATCTGTTAGACAAATTGTACTTATCAAATAAATAGTTTCGATTAAACAAAACACAATTATATGTAAAAATAACTGGCTCGTAATTACTATCCTATTTGATTGTAAAGCATTGAGTTTCAGTAGGTAATATGTAATACATTACGCTAATCGACTTCAACATCAATTCTTAAGCAATAACAATAATCAATTTAATACATTCAATTAAAATTATGTCTGCTGATTTTTGATAATGTATAAATTTATTTCTTTTTAATGTTAATTTTGTTGGTATTACCATTAGCATCAAAATAAATTGTTTATCATCTTTTTAACAACAAAACAAACCAAAAAAAGATTAAATATTAAAAAAAGTTAAATATTAAAAAGGAACTGTTATCGCCACCCTTCATTTTTGTTAATGCCACCTCTATAAGGTCAGGTCCGATTTCTGAGGTAGTCATGTGACCACAGACAAAGACTCCCTCTGCAGTGTTTACAAATAAATTCCATTACACAAACACATACATAGGCTTATCACGTATAAATTTACCAATCAGATAGTATTGCAAATTTTGTATTAAAAAACTAACGTCCTTTATAGCAGCACAACTATACTAAAATTTTATAATTCTTGACTATACTAAAAAATTGTTTTTTTACTTATATATAATCTTTAATTATAAATAAAATATATTGCTAAATATAACTTGTTTAATTTGAATCTGTCACATGTGTGTATAATAAAGTGAGTGCTGTAAAAGAAATTCATAAATATTGGGCTCTAATTATTATTAATAACTTATGATTGCATTAATACAGTTTTAAGATATAATATTTTATAAGTAAAAATTAAATCAATTTATCTTTAAATTAAAAGATTTACTATAAAATGATATAATAGTTAATTTAACTAATAAAATATATATATATGTATTATATATATTATAAAAATAAGTTTTCAAAAAAGGTTTATTTCATTTTTATTAAAGCAAATTAAAATTTTTTATTACAAAAAGTTAATTTAATTTATGTATTTATGTTTTTTATAATTTATCTATTTAAAAAAACATTAAAAAATTTCATCTTTTAAGTAAAGATAGGTAAAATAATTTTGTTTTTAATTTTAATTTTGGGTTTTATCTTTTCAAAATAATTTCATTTTCATATATAATATATATATAAATTTTTTAATTTTTTTTTTAAGTAGTTATGTTAGTACTTTATTAAGATTTTGAAATTACATTTGCAATTATATAAATATTTCTAATAACTAAGTTTAGCATTATCTAACCATCCTAATAGTACTTAAGTGTAACTTGCTACATTATTTTATATAAAAATAAGCTACTTATCTGATTACTTAAAGTTTATAATAAAAAAGTTTTCTTTTTTTTATAACAAATTTTAACATTGTTTTCTGATTTCTTTTTTAATTACTTTTTTTTTCTTTTGCTTTTTCTTTTATTTTTTTTATTCTTTGCTGATTTGTCTTCTTTTCTTTACTTAATTTTTTTTTTTTTTTTTTTTTATTTTACCTATTATTCTTACTTTTTTTCTTATTTATTAATTTTTTTATAGTATATTTTTTATAGCTGTTTATTTTTTTTTTATTAGTCAAAGTTTCTGTTTTAAAAAAGTAATTTTTATTCAAATTTATAAAACATGAGTGTCTCTAGAGGCTCCTTTATATTAAAAGTTACAACTAGCTACATGTGTATTTTTGGTGTTTAATTTAAGTAGTTTATTTATACATTACTATATAAGTTCTATACTAGGTGTTATATCTGCAAGCTAGCTAGAAGTCTTACCTATTTAAACTCTCTGTATATGCAATTTATCTTGTATTATAAGAACATCTTCAAAGTGCTGCTTATTTAAGTTTCTAATCTTTATTAGTACCTTTAAGACTAATTTATTCTTGATAAGAAATCTATTAAAGTCTTTATGTTTTATATATATTGACCTAGTTTTATGCAATACATTATAGCTATCTAATATTCGCAATTACAAAGATTACCTGTTTAATTATTACATTATACTATTTTTATTCTTATAAAGTTCATTAAGACCATAATACTTCTTTTTTCAACTTCTATTTCTTACTCTGAATCTACAAAACTTTTTAAATTTCTAATTTAAATAATTTGATAAATATCCTAAATTTTTTTTTTTTAGCAAACCTAATAGCCTGATTGGTATATGCTTTTCTATATATATTGTTATTTGATTCATTCTAGTTGTTCTTTCAAACCTACAAGACTTTTTAAACTATCAATCCTGATAGTTTGAAATAATATTCTAGATTTTTTTTCTCTAATAAACTCTATGACCTAGTTGGTATATGCTGTCTTACACATATTGTCATTTGATTCATATTATTTATTCCTTTTAAGGTTTTCATTATTCTAGTAGTATTATCAAAAGTCTATGTTATTTTTTTACTTAGGATTTCTAAGTAGTTTTCTGTACTTTAATTTCTTAATATTATATGTCTAATAGTTTTATCATAGGTTTGCACTGAAGTTTTATATAATACTAGTTATTTAACATTTCTCTATATATATATAATATTATATTTTATATAAATGCTCCAAGTTCTTATATAAGATTATATCTCTAAAATTACAAATTATTTCTTCAATTCAACTGATTAACAAGATACAGTTATTATAACACAGATTAATTTCCAAATTTCATCATAAATAGAATTTGAATCTTAGACCTGCTACTTGAAAAATGACAACCTGATCACTATACTAAGATCATCCTTCTTATCTTTATAGCTGTTTATTTTATTTTATTTTTTTTTTTTGAGTTAAAGTCTCTGTCTCTGGAAGTTGATGTTTTTATTCATGTATTTGAACACAGGTGCCTCCAGAGGCTCCCTTACATAGGAGGTTACAACTAGCCACACGTGCACTTTTGGTGCCTAATTTAAGTAGTCCGCCTATACATT